ATTCAAATGAGAGAATACCTGAGACTCTTTCATTTGTTTTCAGTATAAGTTGCCTAAAAGTTACCTGCACAGTTCAACTCCTTCTGTTTTCACTGTGTGCTACCTTTGAATTATAATCCAGTTCAGCTTGTTTTCAATGCAACATTCGCCGTGCTAGTTTTACAGTTCATTACATCTGCTTAATGTCACCTTGTGTTTTTCTTAAGAGGAACCGGTATGTTTAACTTGGAAAGATCTGTTCACTTGGTATGTTTCAGTTCTGCTTACTTATCCAAAATGCTGCCTAGTTCTCTCAGCTCTCTGAGAGCAACCCAAGACTAAAAATGGGAACATGGTGGACTATAAAATATTAACACGGTTTCAGGGAGGACGGGGAGAAAGAAAAGTGCATTTGGAAAGATTTGTCATGCTCTTCCATCTTTTCTTGACCTAAAACTATGACTGCACCAACGAACACAACTTGAGAAAAGAAAATATTTGATAGATTATTTTTTAAATGTTATATTTAGTTCTGTAATGTTTACATATTTTGTTCTGCTTTGTCATTTAATCCTCTGTTTCAATCCACCCTCATCCTTTCCAACAGTTTTGGGTTACATTTGAACATTTCAATGTGCCTGTGTTTGCATTTAATATGTCAAACACTGGATACTAAAAAGCAGACATAGAAGCACATGTCCCCCTCATATTAAGAAAAGGTCACCTCTGAATAATGAAGTGGTTCTCTAATCTGCACAACTCCAGGACAAAGCCCCGGTCAGATTAAGTAAATAATCTGGTGAGTAAAGGCAGCAGCACATTGTTTCCAAAAGCTTCAGACAGAGGGCCTCGAAAAAGAGGTTGTTGTATCCATGGCAACCAGACACTTATTCATAAAGACTGAGCCTGTGGCTTTTTCTCTACCTGTTTTACCATTGTCATTTTTCCATTCACTCACATGCATAAATCCATCGAAGGTAGTTTCTCCAACAGACCTCCCCAGAGCAATAGAACCTTATTTCAGTTTTAAAAAAGGAGGCCTTCACATCCTCACTGTTTAACTGCTGTATCTGGGCTGTCTAGGCAAGGCAAGTTTATTTATATATCACCTTTCAACACAAGGCAATTCAAAGAGCTTTACAAAAATGAAAGACATTAAGAAAATTGCATTTAAAAACGGTCATTAAAAAGCAAAGATAATAACATAAACATTTAAAAAAAAAAATACATGGATAAAAGTTACAGTGCAGTTTAAGATATGAATAGTTCAATTAAAACCAGCGGTAAAAAGAAAAGTCTTCAGCCTAGATTTAAAAGTAGTAAGAGTGACTACTGACTAGACTGGCAGCTGACAGTCTAGTCAGCTGCCAGTTGATCCTGTCACTGTACTGCAACTCATGTCATCAGGACATAACATGTGTTCTACACTCTGACATTAATATTTCAGAAATACATGGTGGTGTACGTGTGTATGTGCGCATGCCTGTCAGCTCCAGCTTTCTGATTGCTGGGTGGACAAAGCTGGGGGGGGGGAATGGGGGTGGGTGCGCAGGCTCACAGCAGTGACGAAGCAAAAACTTGTAGGGCACAGGACAAGCTGCGCTCCATCTTTGTGAGTCGGTGGAAGTGAGGGCATTTATACTTTCCTTTTTACATGTGTAGGATGATTGTCCAGACATTAATAAATGGACAAATCATGCAAAGCCGAGCTGCCTCTATGCTTGTGTTTGAATGTAAAGTAGACATCAAGTCTTCTCTGTTTCATGAAGCTGTGATATCAAGGTTATCTGCATGAATAGTAATGTGTATATGTTCAGCACCACTTTATCATGTATAGACAGCTTATAGCCTGTGTTGTGTATTTACACAATATCTAAATCATTATTAGTTTGCATTTTCTTTGTTGCTGTTTTCTAGTACATTGTGTTCTTGTGGGCCTCAGAGGAGTGCAACGTCAGGAGAGCTCCATAAGAGAATTAGGTAAATGGTGCCAAGTATCTACCAGGGAGTGCAGCACAAGAAAAAGATAGGATCCAAAGGAGTGGATGGAATATTGACGTAGGATCTGTGTGTGTGCGTCAGTGTGTTTAAAGATTTAATGCAATTGCTCTCAGCTGATTTGCATTGAATTTCTTAGGGGGTGGTTCTATAGCAATATCTCCTCCAGTGATTTATGATGGCTGTCTGGCATGCCAATGTCATCTTTATTCCTTTTTAAAAATAAGACTGGAATGAGTCTGTACCTGGACTGCAGGCTGGTGGTTCAGGCTGCCCAGCGACAGTCTGTGAGATCAACCTATAATGACCTGACTCTCGCAGGACTCCTCTGACTGATGGCTACTGTCATGGCCCAGCCACTCTCGAGTGAAAATAAGTCAAATTGATGACGCAGTGCTGTCAAATCAGTCTGATGCCCGAGGCTGACTCAGGTCAAAGGTCCAGAGATTAGTGGTGTTGCATTGCAAAGAGATTTGTATGAGTTCTAGGCTGGCAAGTGTACCAGTCTGAAAATGACGCACTTAGTATGGCTGCAATATATCTGTCTCAGAATGAGTTTTATATGCATTTAGACTTGGAAAAAGGCTCATTAGCTTGTTCGTGGATGAGGAGCAGTCATGTGGGGAATGTCTTTTTGATGTGAGCTTAAGATATTTATTCCAGTATCAGAGATGAACAAATGTTTTGAAGGCAATAATATTTAGTTGAAGAATTACAAAGTGTGAAAAATACAACCGGCTCAGCTTACTTAAGATGACATGTACACTGTTTGCATCATCTTTCTCAAAAGTAGCACATTTTGGTTCTCTATGTGTTCGGCTAAAAGGCTAGTGGTGGGGCAAACCATCTTTACAAAAAATCTATGAACACTAATGGGTTGTGTTCCTATTCTTCCAGTTGTGGTTACATTGTGTGAATGCAGCAATATGCTAAAAATAAATGTCCAACGCATTACAACATTTAGTTTGTGTTATCTGGAAATGGAGCATTAGCATGAATATAAAGGCAACATTTGGAGGAAATGACGGCCATGGTAATGCCAGACAGCACTTAAAGTTGACTTATCAGTTTAAGAGTGATAGGCCTCTGCTGGGCACAACCTTGACACCCAGCTCCATGACTGCAATTAGCCCTTTTATTACGATGTATGGTTAGGAAGAAGAAGATCGATAGATAGATAGATAGATAGATCGATAGATCGATCGATCTGTACCGGCAAAGGGCTATTGGTCTAGTTTCTGCTTAAAGGCTCATCCTGTAGGCACACGCTGTCATTTCCATGTCAACGAAGCTGTAAGGTCGCAGAAGCTGACATAATATGGCTTGGCTATTCTAATCCTATGATCTCTATGCCTTCCAAATCTAATGGTGACGCCTGGTGACTTGTATAGGAGAGGTTGTCACTGTAGAAACACTAACTCCATCTGTTAGCAGAAAAGCCCAATGGGTGGTCATGTGGTTCAATCAGCGGCTTGGACCCTAAGAGAACAAATATTGTAAACACGACAGGAGGTCTGCATGTGAGACATCAAAGGCATTCCAGAAGTAATGTATGGCATTTTGAATTGTGTTGTTTTCCTGGGACACACGACCAACCAGAGTCAGTAATACTACCTGCATTCTGCCTCCTTCTAGTCACCCTGCCGGACCCCGTTGCCGTTTTCATTAAGAAACAGCGTCGACATACGGTCCTACTTGGATGGAGAGGCCAAATCCAGCAGAGCAGTAAAGGTAGCAGTGTTCAGGCAGCCGGAAAGCAAATGGGGTTCATCAACAACCGAGGAGAATACTCAGTTGCTACAGAAATGTCTATGTAAAAGGAGCGTATCACCTATTTGTTTTAGCAGGTTGTCCCATGTTTAGAAAAAACGCACTTATGCAGGTACATTTTGCATTTAAACATCACAAATATGATCCAAACCATGATGCACATCAATATTTTGCACCTTATATATAAATGCACTTTATATATTTTGTAATTAAGAGAGAAATTAACAGGGCAAAGCTTTCCCATGGGATTTTTTAAATAGTATTTCAAATTCAACCTTTGATTACATTGACCTAGAGGAAGTGCTTCCTTATTGCTCAAAATGGTTTAATCTCTATAAGAGGTCAAAGAAAGAGCATGAATCATGAAAACTAGTCAAGTGTGAAAGACTTTACTAAGTCCCTATATCTTTGTTTGCACAAGACTGTGACACCCAGTCACAAAGTCTACTGGCACCTCATGCCCAGCACTGTCTTATCATTTTCTCATGCAATAACCACATGCACAGTGCCAAAGCAAACAGAATATCAATTCTTAAAAATTGCGTTCCTCCTTTAGCATCCTATTCGTAATCAATCAAGGAAAAGGCTATTTAGCATCAAGTGGTGCACTTTTCAACACCTAGGTGGATCACAAGATTAGTTGCCGCCAAAGGGAGATTTGGAGCATTAGTGAATATTGAATCTCCTACGTGGCTTCTGTGAGGTGGCTTGTGCGGATTGTGAAATGTCCCCTGGCATGAATCTAGCATCAAAGGCTATCAACCCAGATAAATGTTCAATGAGATGTATTAACTTTGGGTTAGTTTTATGAAATGTTGTTTTTTTTGCCTCATTCTAGTCTTCTTTGGGTTGTAGAAAAAAGACAACAGGATTGCAATTTGCAGTAGAATTGTTGTGATATACCAAACTTGTCAAATGAAATAACCATTTGTAAAGTCAAAAGTGTTTTTCCCACAATAGTGATCCTTACTGTAGGTCAGATCAATGAAATATGAAATCCTCCATCTTTGCTAACTACATCTAAGCATTTTAGACCATTATCTGTGCATAAACCACAGGTTGTGTGCTTCTTTTTTACAATCCAAAAATGTAAAATATAAGGTCCATTCATAATTATATGTTATTGGAATCAGCTGTAAAAAAAAAATCTATATCCTGCATCCCTACTTTTACTTTGTGTATTCTATTATGTGTTTCCCACTGTTGTGTTGCCAGAACAGTGTCTGATGGCCTGCTCGGTTTGTGTCTCACAGGGTGAAGAAGGGCCTCCCAGTCTGGAGTACATCAAGGCCAAGGACCTGTTCCCCCAGAAGGAGCTGGTGAAGGAGGATGAAAGCCTTCAGGTGAGTTTAACATTGTTAATCAACCATTGACAATTATCCCTCCAGAGCCTTGTCTGCTCTGACATGTTAGCTACATGTCTGTTGAGGAGACAACCAGGAGCACTTTCAGATATTGATCTCATTATGTGTTAATAGTGTGATTGCCAAGTTATCACAAGAGTCATACGTCAGCAGGACAGAATTGATGACACTGTCCGAACACTTTAACAGTACAGGAAATCAAGACGGATTTAAACATTCCAAGTATGTCTAAATGTTTGAATGTCAGTGCAGCCGCTGCCCACGTTCTGCAAAAAAAGGCTGATACTACTAACAGAAAAAAAATGTATTTGGTATTTATTTAGGAAATAGGTCCTGTTTGGCGAAGAGATTAAAACACACCAGGTGGAGGTCTACTCTCTCCTGAGAGCACTTCACTGGTTGGCTCAGTGTCAAGTTGAAACAATTACTTAAGAGTTTGGTGCATGAAAATACATTTCGTCATCTTCTAAGCCATCTAAAAAATGACTCCAATTGAACTGTAATGATACACTTTTAAATTCTAAGATGTAACCTTTAGAGGTCAGTCCCCAAAAGGTGTCTGTACCCTCCACTGTTCTTCAGAAAAAAGCAGAAGTTACTGCAGAGGATAAAGAACAGGCAGGTGAAAAGCACTGAAGTGAGAGGGATTTTAAGTCTATTTCACGGTGAAGATGCCAGAAGCAACATTTTGACAGACAACTAGCGCTGTACCCTGTGGTGTGGTGAGGGAGTGCTCTCTGGCTGTCTGCTGGTTAATGGAGCTGAGCATTATGTGTCTGGAGAAACTGGACAAAGGGTAAAGGAGGGGATCTGCCCAGCCAGGGGGTCACTGTCTGCTGGCCAACGAAAGCATGTATAACCTTCGAAGAGTATCTGTTCAAATGAGGCTTATTGTTATGCTTTTTTTTCATTACTAAATAGGCCTGCTAGAGTATTAAATATTGATTAATTTGCTGATTATCTTCTAGATTAATCGATAAGAAAGAACAAATGACCATCAAAGTTTCTCAAAGTGAGTTTAAAGTCTGGTTCTGTCAGTCAAAAAACCAAGGATGTACAGTTTCTCATTATAACAAACTATTGAAAAGCAGGACATTTGAGGGACTGAAAAGAGCATTTTCTGCCAATTTAGCAAGAAACAGTTATCAGTTAATCAGTAAACTGTTAATCGACTATCAAAATATTCAGTGGTTATTTATTTGTTTATCAACAAATCCATTACTTGAATAATTGTTCCAGCTCTATAATAAAAGGGATGGGCGACAGTGAGTCCTAGTAGTTCTTCATTTCCTGCTCAGCAATGTGAGGAAACTTAAACACAGTTTCTAACCTCATTCTGTCTCTGCTTTTGTTTTATTCTCTGTGTTTGAGGGCATCCCATGATAGTTTCCCTGACAGCTGAGCAAGCAGATTAAAAGCATTCCCTTCCGCAACACATTTATTACCCTGCTGCATTTCCCCCTGTATGCGTGCAAGCCGATATGCATGCATGCATTTGTGTGCGTGTGCACACGTGCATGTCCTCACAGGCAGGCTGCTTAAACCGGAAGTCACGACTCACAAGTGAGAGAGTGTTATTCTCTCCCCGGCTCCCTCTCTAATATTTCTGCTGCTGAAGGCTTCATAGAGGAAAACGTGACACAGGATCTTCTGCTGCACTTGCTAGCTGCTGGTGACTCATGAGCCTACTTTTGGAGCACAGCGTGTTCAATGCAGCTTGCGGTCTCTACAGCATGTTAACTATGGCCCTCTCAGCTGGGCCTGTTGGGTCTCTTCCACAGCAGAGCAACACGCAGACTCGTCCCTGCTGCTGTGATTATATTTCATGCAAATTGGCCGCGTCCTCTGACTCAGGAAGAATACTTTTGTCTCCTTTTTTTATTTAGTAAAACTGTATTTACAGCTTTTTTTTTCTGTCAACTGAAGCGTGTTCAGCTTTGTTTGGGTGCCAGCTGTATTTGTGTGCCACTGTCAGTTAGTTGAGCTAGATATTTGTAACATTTCACTTTTTTTGAAGTCCCAGTGCAGAGTGCCAGGGGGCTTGCTGCCTATATTTGGTTCTGTTGGTGTCTGAGAGCAGAGTACTACGTGCTCCATTTCCCAGGTTAAGCTGTCCTCTTTGCCTCATCATGCTTCCTGTCTGGGCTCACTCACACATTTTGAGTTAGAGATGAGCAGCAGCAGGTGCCGTGATAAATCAGGAGTTTGAATCAGCAGTCATCAACAGCTTTTTGATCCCTTGCCAATGGACTATATATTTCACATTTAAAGAGAGAAAAGAACAGTTTTACTTTACAATGGATCTATGGGCTTGGCATCAGTTGTAAAACATAAGATGACTAGTAGATGTTGACTAGTGTTTCTGGGTCTGTCGGTCACGTCCAGCCGGTGTGCTCCGTGTAATGTTATTTCATGAAACCCTGATTTTCTAACATCTTGCCGTAGATCCCCAGCTGCCATACTGCATGTCCTCTTTTAACATGCAGCAGTGGGCCCTCCTCTTTGTGACTCAGCATTGCATGCTAATGCAGGATGAGCTAATGTTGTTTCTAAGCAACACTGTTGTCCTCACTACCAGCAACTAAACAACGCGACCAGGGTAACAATTGGTGGTCCCCAATGACTATGATTACACTAAAGCAGCCATCAGTGCATGCATGGTGATCAACACACAGAAGTGATGACTTGAGAATCAGTAATGATCAGTAATATATCTTCCCACACAATTTACTATTTCACATCAGCCAGAAGAGTGTTTTATACGATGTAATGGAAAGTTATTCTCTGTAGATAATACATATCCTAAAACCTCTTGATCAACAGCACTCATAAAACATCCTATCACACCAAACTAAGCTAAGTGAAACAACCTTTTGCATTGGGTGGCTTAGCCAAGTTTGACCAAAGGAATAATAGTATCTATTCACATTACTTCAGCAATTCATCCATTTACCTATAACCAGAGCAGTATGAACTGAAAATTAACAGTTTTTTGATTTAATTGCAATATACAGATCAAAAGGATGCAGGAATAATGTTATTCTTTATATTCTTTGATTTAATTGCAATATACAGATCAAAAGGATGCAGGAATAATGTTATTCTTTATACATAGCTTCATACTGTATACCTTTTTAAAAAATGACATAAACTCACCTGCATTTAAGATGTTTATTGTTTATGACAGATGTCGGAAGAATCTGAGCCCTGATGAGCGTTCACAACACAGTGCCCGCACATTTCTAGCTCATTCTGCTATTTTTTTTGTCCCGTTCCTGTCCATTTGTGTCTTTGCTTTGACAGTGTATGATAATGATAACAATTTGCTTTGTATTTCTTGTGAAGCACCATTATAGTTCGCTAAAAAAAAACGTTTTTAAGTACGTTGGTGAAGCAGGTCCAGTAACAGATCAGTAAGTTTAGTGGTCAGTGTGAAATAGAAAAATATGAAAGTAGTTGTACACTTCCATCTTTATAGTATGAATGGTGATTAAAAGTTGGCGACTGTAGCTGTGTTTGCTTCAACAAGGTTGCCTATCAAAGCTAATGCCCTGCTGCCTCAGAGTGAAATTAGGAATGTTTTCTAATTACATTTCGTTGGGAACCAATTATGTTAATATTTGGGTCTCATTGCGGCCAAAACCTGGACTTGGCTGGGCTGTAATAAAACGGGCACACGGAAGAATGTTAATGGACAGTTTGGGATCCCTCACTGTACCGTCAGTACTAAAGCAGACAGTCTCCTCACAGCCCTGCCTCTTCTCTGCCGGCTCACCAACAAGCCCTCTGCGCTTACAAAGGTCCTTCTGTAAAACTACTATGTGCTAATTGGACTGCTATACATGCATAGTGTTTCCTCCATGCCCCCCTTTTGGTCGTATCTGAAATGTCCACAATCATTACGAGTTCAGCTTCTAGTGGGCAGGATGTTGCAAGCACTAACCTTGCCTGTTGGTTGTGTAATATATAAAATATATTGGGCCAAATATGGTTCTTGAGTTACAGTTGGGATATCCAGAATCATAAATTTGATACTTGTTTTCTACAAAGACGATTTTTCTTTACCTGTCAATCCCCATGCCCCCGCAGGGGGCCAAACGCAACATCTTGCAAGAAACAGCGTGGCATAGCCACCATAGGGCCAGGGTGGGCCCTATGTCTTTTATTTTGAAACTGTACATCAGAATGTCCTGATTTTTTCTGAGTGACTAGGTGGGGTGGTCCTGCTATCACCCTGGAGTGAGATGAGTCTTTGATACTGGACAGTTTTTGTTTTATTCTCATCTAAAAACAGGGATGATAGCTCTTATGAGACTTCAAAGGTCTTTTATTTTCAAAATTGTACATCAGAATGTCCTGATTTTTTCCTGAGTGACTAGATGGGGTGTCCTGCTATCACTCTGGATTGAGATGAGTCTTTGATACTGGACAGTGTTTTGTTTTATTCTTATCTAAAAACAGGGATGATAGCTCATATAATGAGACTTCAAAGGTCTTTTATTTTGAAACTCTACATCAGAATGTCCTGATTTTTTCTGAGTGACTAGATGGGGTGTCCTGCTATCACTCTGGATTGAGATGAGTCTTTGATACTGGACAGTTTTTGTTTTATTCTCATCTAAATACAGAGGGATGATAGCTCTCATATATGAGGCAGTGTTTCCAGGACTCTACCGTAATACATAGGATATTCGCGCACCGCAATATCACGTGCGGGCTGGCTGACTAGGTTTTCCCGAGTGGAGGCTGGCTTGACCGCAGTCACATGTCGCTGCTGTTGAAAGATGATATCATTTACAGTACAATAGTTATAATGATGTGCACGTCTCTAAAAAGTTTTCAAAAAAAAAACTACCACCGTTTGATAAAGTAGGGTAGGCTACGCGTTTTTCTCTTTTTGTGCAGTGTAACTTTAGATGGCTAGCGTGTCCAGAAATTAAAATCGGCAAGATTTCTGTCGAAAGCATATTTTTAAACAATCAAATATCTTAACAGCATAAACCATATCAATGCCACATTTCCTCCTGGAACACAGAAACGTATAAGTAACGTTAGTTAAATGTCATATGAGCTGCGGCGGCTCGCAGCTCTCTGGCTCCGCTGTGAATGAGCGAGGAACTAAGGAACTGCTCATGTGAGGAACAAACGGAGCGAGCGCCCATCTCTCGCGAGGAACGACGCCGTTATCGGAATCTCTACAAACAACACGAGAATTCATCATTCACACGGTAATATAACCCAATCTTACACGGTACATGTGTTGTGTGCCAGCAAGAAGCCGACTCAAAATCATAGTTAATTGTTATTTCTTCAAACAGTTTACCATTCTTGTGGTACATTTTAGCGGCCTGTAGGCCTTACTAGCAAGCTAACCACCACGCTAGCTTGGACTCATTTGCAATGCTTCGGCTTTAACGTTAGCATGCAAGCTTGCAAATCAGATTTTGTAGTTGTGCTAATTTAGCTAACAATAGCTTGTATCTGTTTCTGCTCAGGCTAGCTAGTTAGCTTGACTTAATGCAAAGTTGCATGTCTTGCCGACATGCTGAAGTAATAACGTTAGCCAGCATACATCCGATGACATTATATAAAAGCCTTCTTACACGTCAATTTATATATTCTGGTTTGTTTTATTTCACTCACTTCACATTGTCAACATACCCCCGCCCAGTTAGCTAGCCGCTACGCTAGTTAGCTTACAAAGAAGTAATGTAAGCTGCTAACAATCCAACATTGTTAACTTAGTCAGGCCAGCAACACCTGATCCTTGCATTTTTATAGTTTGCTATCTAACGTGAGAGAAGCAGGGTTTTTCCAGAACAGCTGTAGCCCACACTGACCTCCCATAGCTACCAGAGTTTGCTGAAGCTAACATCGGCTGTTAATAAAAGGCTCTTGGACTAGGCTGTTTCATGTCATTTGTGCTTGATATGAAATGATAATACATATGAAAACGACATTGCACTTGAATATCTATAGTGGATTTCAATGTGCCCATACATGTAAAGAGGAATCCAGGAGAAGGCGGGCATATCATGTAACTGGCGTGACTGTAACTCGTGTTGGTCTCTGGAAATATGTGGATGCTACAAACGTGTAAAATAAATGCATTTTTGTTCAGAGTTTAAGTGATTGAGTATGAAATTCATGCCTTCATTTCCCCACAAACCATAAGGCAAAGGGAATTATCATTGTAAGTGTGTTATTCCCCAGATTATTTAATAAGGTCACTACCATGGCATATAACTGTATGAAGTTGTTTGAGTCTTTTTGGAGGTGGTGGTGAATATTGTTTACATACATGTATCTTATGATGTCGACCTAAATGTACCTCTACTCACGTTAGAGCTGTTATTTTAACTTGACTATTATCATAGCCAAAATAACTTCACAACAACTATATTTTCCTCATGTAGAAAATGTTGAAGAAAACATAAATGTAATCATTCAAACTCATGGTTACCATTTTTTCAACATCAGTTATTGACGTTGACAATGTATAATGTTACATCCATTAACTCGGACCAAAGCTCAATTAACTCTCAAAAATCATAGTACACTTAAATACAGAGAAATGACAGAGAATTGCTAAAGACTAGTCCTGTAAGAAACACTTTCCTTTAAAAAAACCTGAATTGTCCAAACAAGTGAAATGCAGTGAATGAATTCTATGAGATTGGTTCAGTCCTTTCACAAACAAAATACATAATATGTGCATAGTCATCAGTAATGCAGACCCAGCCGAAAGATAGTCTGCTTTATAGTAGCATTTCAGTGAGTAAATAGTTTTCTGTCTTGGTAACTTAACCAAGTTTTCCTGTTATCTAATTTCAGCTGTGAACAATGTCTGAACAAGAGTTGGAGGAAATTGTGCAAATAACAGTGGAGGATTTTAACCAGGATGACCGGACAGGTAAGATTCTTGTGAAACAATATTAAACGTATCTATTTAGTGTATAGGGAATTGATGAATGTTTAAATTCTCTATACATTTTACCAGATATTGTTAAGTTACTTATTGGGCAAATGCAGCACAATCAAACATGGACATTTAATCGGTAATATTTTACAAATTCTCAAGTAATTGATGTTTTTGTGTGAGCTTGCTTGATGCTTAGCGTTTACTGTACAACTATGTTATTCAAAAGTTGCATAATGCACATTTTATTTTAGTTTGAGACTCGGTATCATCAGACACTAAAGTTGTGCCTTTTTAATTGGAGCGTAAGCAAAGCTTACATCTAGGCATCCCATAGTGAAATCGAACAATGCAGCTGTCATTTGTTATTTTGAGTGTGTCTTTATATTTGATTCATGTCAGACCTGCTGGACAATCATGAAGACGACGAAGAAAAGCCTCAGAAGAAAAAGAGGAAATTAAGCACCAGCCAAGAGAATAACAACAATAACCAAGACATATCTCTTATTAAGGTACCAACTCTGTCCAAAGCTTATATTTTTTTATATATTTAAAAGTATATGATTTGTGAGTTGAATAACACACACAGCATGTTCTTATTTGTGATTCCAGAACCTGTTGGACTCTTTCACTGCATCAATCAGCCAGCGACTGGAGGGAATTGAATCAAAGTTATACTCTCTGGATGCTACGTGCAAAGCCCTTGGACGCAAACTGGACAGCATGGTGCCATGTGCAAAGAGTCCTATCCAGGTTCCTATGGTGGCAGGGTCTCCGCAGGGGGCCACTCAAACTTGGAACAAAGTGAGATGGTAAGATACAAGTCTTTACATCCGAGTGCATTTCGCACAAATTGAACATTGTCTTCATTCAGGTTTAGAGTGCAGGAAACATGGTGATGAATTACAATTGTGAGGCTTTTGTTGGTGTCAGCTTCTATCATGCAAAATAATTTTCATTTGAGTCATCTTACAAAGCTGCATTGTGATTGCAGGAGCCAGCAGAACCAAATTAGTTAAACCTTGTTAAAGTGCAATGCATTCCGACATCATCTAACTGCTACCTTTTGATTTTCTCCTTCAGCGTTGTACCACAAACAAATGTGATAGTGAGCAGTGAACACCCAAAGGGCACTATGCAAGAAGAAACACCTCTGGAGAATCTGCTCAGCAAGTGAGTGGCTCACATTCACACAATATGCTTTGTATGAACTAAGGTCAGAAATGTGTAAAGCCTTCCCAACAAAGTGCATTTCCCACCAGGCAATCGAGGACTTTATAGTATCTGAATTACTTAAACCAGGTGGTTGCTGCAGTGATCTGTCTGTTTGTGAGTTCTACTGATTTCAAATGTGTGCTTCTCTACAGCACGGTGGCCAGGAAGCGTCACAACACAATCCTTGTAAAGGTCCCGGGGCCAGATGATAGTCAGGAAGAACAAGACAGCGGCTCAGAGGCCAGTGACACTGTTTCAAATGGTGGCCATTCCAGCAATGCGCAAAATGGCCAAAATGTCACACTCATCACGCTCAACTCAGAAGGTATGACTTAGACGCACATTTAACATGTATGTTATTACTCTTGTTCCCTTTTGGTAATTCGATACAAACGAGCCCATTGGCTCAAATGCATAGCTGTTAGTTAACCTTTAACTGCGGCTTGGTTATCACATATTGAATCATGCTTTACGAGCTGGTACTGCATCTTCCATCACGTACCTCACAGGTGATTGTTGGGCCATCTAGGCCCAATGAAATGAACATTGATTGTTTTGTAATCATTTAATATTTTTTCTTACGTGGCAACCCTTTCAGATGGTGTCCATATGGGAAGGCAAGCAGTGTTGATGAGTCATATTCACACCCTGTGGTTCTGACTGTGTTGATCTACGTGATTGGTCACTCTTTTTTTCATTAGTTTTGCTCAGTAATTCTTGCTGAGCCAGACATTTCTGAATGGGAAAACCTAAATTAAGTCCACATTGTTTTGAACTGTGTTGCTATTAGTTGTGATTGTTTGGTTGGGTATTTTCAGCGGACTAGGGAAGTTCCTGGTTGTCTTCAAAGGCAAACTATTAATCATTTATTTGCAGCTGTGGGTTACCATGATAAAACTGTTAGTCAGCATTAGCTAGACGGTACCATATGGTGTTCAAAACAGTGTGTCCCCTTCTTTGTTTGTGTGTTTTTGTGTGTGGTGGATTTAACTTTTAACATACGCAGTGATCAAACAGCCAAACCACGCATTCAGTTTTAAATGATCTTTGATAATAACACAGTTGTGACTCCTCTAATTCCATTTACTGCCACATGGGAGTGCTATTGTCTAACATGAATTATCGTATAGGCTCTGCTATATAACTAAGTGTAGTATTTTTTCAATAAGGGAAACCTGCTACCAGTATTTAACAGGCCACATGTTTCCTGAAAGAGAGCTGTTTGAACTGTTCCCTCTCCTGTTCTTAGATGATTACCCAGTGGGCACCTGGTTGGGAGACGAGAACAACCCCGAGATGCGAGTTCGTTGTCCGGTGTCTGCAGCTGATATGCTCCATATCACCACAAACTGTCGCACAGCGGAGAAAATGGCGCTGACACTGTTGGACTACCTGTTCCACCGGGAAGTCCAGGCCATGTCCAACCTGTCTGGCCAGGGCAAACACGGCAAGAAGCAGCTGGACCCGCTCATGATCTATGGCATTCGATGTGAGTTCTTCTCTAACCATCTGGTATTAACAAGTATCAATTTTATGCAGCCTGCTTCACTTTGTGATAGATTGACAAAGTAGAGCTGGACCTGGCAATCACTCCATGATAAGCAGGTTCATAAAAAGGACTGTCTTTATATGTACAGTAGGATGGCAAAATGACCATCCAGTAACCTCCAAGGTGGCGTCTAGTCACCAGTGTTTTTATTACACACGTTCAGCGTAGTTTAATTTATACTAATACATCTGACTCAGCTGCGGTTTTAATCCTTGCCCCTAACAGCAATAAATGAACTCTCTGAGACCTTCCCACATTTCATCTTCGTTCCATTATAAAGCGGCACCAAATTTATCACAGAAATAGACTGCAGTCTGTATTCCCAAGGCGGGTTACAACAACATGCATTCATCCTTGCACATGCATTAATGGGCAACACATTTTATAACATACCAGACTGTAAATGACAAGCACATGTCTGCTAGAAAGATCCTAATGGAGTCCCCCTCAATTCAGTGAACGCTTTGATTCCTGATGAAACACAGTCAGGGCTATGATGATAGACAGACAGATATTTATTAAAGTCCTTTGGCTATGCACTATTTTTATTCGTCCCACATTGCAGTGTGAAGATGGGCTGAGATAGCTTTAGCCTTTCCTTCAGAGTAGCTTGTGCCCTCTGCAGGAGGATTTAATAAAAATCCCCCATGGCATACATAGAGGTATGCAGAGGCTGGAGCTGGGCCAGGTGACTTTTGGGTGACTCATTCTTGAGGAAAAAAAGGAATGAGGGCGCAAGTGCCATGCCTGCCTGTACAGGACCCTTCAGTTGTTTTAAGGGTTACCATAAACTGCCATCCTAATATCCATAGCAACCCCACAGCAATCCCTCTGTCTTGTTTTCCCTCAGGCTGTAGCTTGGTAGTTAATTTATGGAGAAGTGAACTGTCAATGCGCTCACCCCTTTTTAAACTGTTAATACCACTGAGGTAGACAAACACTTAATGCAGCTGCATCCATTCTCACCTCCTCATATCTCCATTGAGGCAAGTAAGGACTGTCACAGTGCTGTGTTAACACTGCATGTCAAGAGTAAGTGGAGCAGAAGTAAACAGGACCAGGACAGTTTCTTCCTTCAGTTTTCATAAAAATCACAGTCAAAATTTGAATTGACAAATTCTAACAAGTGTTGCACCTGGTTTGACTTTCTAACAGCAATTGTGGCATTACACCAATGTGGTAGCACTTCATCATAATCAGCATATTGAACCGGGAAAGATCATGGAAAATACCCACATCAAAAGGTGTGTGAGAGTTGAGTACTTTAAATACAATCTATTTTTAATTGCTTCAAAACAAAACGGGAGGAAATCAACCTTTGAAATAAATAATTTCCCTTTTTTAGAATCAAACAATTAAAAAATATCTTTACTATTTAAGTATTTGGTGTCATACTCTCTCAGTCTCAAAAATAGTCTGTTGCTTTCTTTAGCTGTGACAGTTGGAATTCAATCTCAATGTTTTGCGTCCCTCAAGTAGCTTGCAAACATGATGGCAAGCTACATAAATGGTTGTATGACAAGTTCCAACCTTCAGATTTAATGGTGAGATATCTAAACATTTCAGCAGACAATTCAGCCTGTGATATTATTTCCTGTGAATTATCCTGACTGCTATAAATTGTTCTACTGATATTACCTTCAAGTTCAGGTGATGGCAGGGACATGAACATGTACAGTCCAGTTTGCCTGCTTACTCCAGTAAAGCTCATTTAGTTTCCTGTACTACTGAAACCGAAAGGAGGAGGCAAATGAATGGAAGGTGCATTGCCGGGGGAAAAGGGCAAATCCATAACACAGAAATGTGCAAATGAGAAAGTTGTAATGCACCCATTTACAAACAAGCCGACACTATTTAATTATGTATACAGTATGGGATGACCTTTGATCTCTTTGTGTCCCAACAGGCCATTTGTTCCACAAATTTGGCATCACAGAATCAGACTGGTACCGCATCAAGCAGAGCATCGACTCAAAGTGTCGCACCGCCTGGAGACGCAAGCAGCGCGGCCAGAGTCTTGCTGTCAAGAGCTTTTCCAAACGCACGCCTCGGAGTTCAGCCTCAGGTAAAGCACAGATATTATCAGAGGGCTTGTCCTTCTGTGCAGAATCACAACTGCACATGCTGTAGGATGTCAACTTGTTGTGTGTGTATATGTGTGTTTGTGTAGTTCTTCATATGTAGATGCGTTGTTGAAACGTAATAACAATAGCAATTCCCCACCCCACGTACCCCACTGCATTAATACTAGGACAACTGATTTTCTAACTACTCGAACTACTAAATCTGCTTTAAGATTGGATTATTTGACGGAGAGTGCAGCAATATGAAAGAGACAAACGCCAACAGTCAACCCAGGATGTATGGCAAATCACGAAATACAGATATTAAGTTAATGATAAGATGAGCAATCTTATGACTGGAATACATTTCATCAAGATCACTAGATCATATTAATAAAAATATCCCATTTCAAGAAAAACCAAAGCTTCAACTTCTTGTGAAATATTTGGGAGAGGGCACAATAAGATTCTATGATCTGTATGTTCTTAAAAAAAAAAAACACCTACTTGGCTCCAGTCTTTATTGAGTGATTATGTTGCAATGTTTCAGCGACTGTTTTCTAATCAAATAAGGTTTAAAATTCAACTAGTGACCCAAAAAGAGACATCTGCTATTATTTATTTCTATTCCTCATCGGCCAGTGACACCCTCATTGGTTTTTAGTTTGGAATTTGTTTCAGTGGTGGAGCCTGTTTCATTACTTGATTCTAAACTTTGATCTGACAAATTGAACTTGTGCTCAGCCAGTTTGAAAGGAATGTTTTTTAGTTTTCTCTATTAAGGATAGCCACCAATGAATAGTCATTTTTACTAAGCATCGTAGAGACTTAGCATTACACTTGTCCAAATAAATAGGGTGCAGATTCTGAGTTGCTCAATATTTGCATACCAGTGAACTACAGAGATTCGTACATGCTACCCTTTATCATAAATTGGCTGTTTTTATTCACTAAAAGACAAATGATTCCCAATAAAAGTCCACTTTTCTCTTTGTGCCCGTTATAAATGTGTAAATAGTCAACAAACACAGGAAGCTTGAAACTGAATACAGATGGTTGTAATCTGCACACAAAGCCTGCTGTCCTTCCATCCCTGCGAGCCATCACCTCTCACCTCTGACCAGCAAGAAATAAGACTGCAGGGGAAACCCAAATATCCTGTGAGCGCACACTAGGGGTGGATTGTCAGCCCTTCCTTTTCAGGCCACACACACCCCAGAGTGTACACCAAAATAGTAGTTCAGATGTTGCATGCACAAACATGCTAAAACGCACACCAAACAATCATTTCTTATTAAATCCGATTACATGTTAATGGACCGGAAAGAGGTAATGCTCCTGCTTTTTAAAACCATTACTTATCAGTGAACCCGCAAGAAGCACTCAGACCAAAACTGTAGTTTTCACAAGCCACCTGGCTTTAGCTTCCTCGTCTGGCAAACCAAAGCACTGATGATTATTTACATAACAGTTCATAGCAGTAATAACGAAAGATGGAGGACAGCCTTCCTTTTTAAAGCAAAACAGAACTTTGGAGGTGCATGCGAAGTAAATATCAAGCAGAAATATTGTATTTGGCTATTATTATTTTTTTTATACGTTTTTTTTATTACTGACTGCTTTTCTTAGCTCTGTTAACTGCTGCATGGTATGATACCAGAAATGACCCAACATCCTCCTCCAGAATGGTCTTTTAACAAAACAGTTTTTTTTCTTTTGGGCCTTTGTTGCAGATGACACTGTCCCCGAGCATTTTTTTGATGTCTTTGCTTGCTTTCTTGAGATCTTTTAGTAGTTTCAGAGCTGCAGTGGATGATGAGACTGGTCCATGCAGGGGCTTCAGGCTGCTGGTGTGAAAGCGGGTGTTTAGACTGAGGCCTGGAGTTTGTGTTTGGCTGCTAGACCATGAGTGTGTTTGGATGGCTAGCTGGAGAATCCTTGTTGTGTATTTAGGCGTTTGATGAAGTATAAACACGGCATCATCCAGCAGATGGCCTGGCAATTGGCCAGTTGTTGTTCTTTTTTTCTGAGGAGGTTGCTAAGGCTCCTTGCATGATGTGTGGGTCTGTGTCAGTTTGTGTGTCCTTATTTCTTATGTGGAATCACTTTCAATGTACTCCTGACCTACTTTTACTGTACACATGACAATTCTGTCTGTCCTAACCAGAGGGAGGCATGGGAGACGAAACGGGACACATTGAGGCTGCTACCCAGCAGACCTTGCACTACACACTGGCCAATCAACAAGTCCAGTTCCACCGTATCGGCGAGGATGGACAAGTTCAAGTGGTGAGTGTCAGACATGCCATCCTTCACTGTTTCTCTCAATCCATTAGCAGACATCTGTATTTTTTGGAAAACACATTTAAAGTAGTCTCTCGAACACCAGCAACGCTTACTATTACACTCGCTGATGTTATATGAGGGTCTCATAGAGCAGGGTTTGTAGTTTAGGCTGAAAGTTCATTCCACCCACCAAGGTGACACATGCAGTGTTCTGCAGGGATATAGTGCAGCTTATGTCAATGAAGGCGTTGCCCAATCTCAACGAGGGAATGACCTTGGACAGCTGCTATGGCCAAAGGTCACAACAAGGCCCACTACAGCGCTAAGGGTGGGCGGGCAAGGAGGAAGTGACCGCATCTTTCATATCTTGTACCCTAAATAACCAAAAATACACTTTGAACCAGTGAGGAAGTGATTATTCCTTGATTTAACTACCGTAATTTTCGGACTATAAGGCGCACCTGAATATAAGCTGCAGCAGCTAAATTGAATGATGTGTACATATATAAGCCGCACTGGACTATAAGCCGCAGGTGTTTTAATGTTTAATAACCATATGTAAGGGTTCGTGCACAGAGGGGATTGTCGGGAAAGAGATGGCTGTTTGAGGAAGCTCCCATTTATTAACATTTCAACAAACAAGTTGCATATTTGCATAACGTATTCAAGTGTTACCATTTAGTGCAATAGTAGCTACAGAACATGTACTGTGCTGTGTAAACTGTACTGTATCACATAGCGTTTCAGACACACAAACTTTTCAACTTTCAAACTTAAACGGTGCGCTCCCAGCGCACGTACCGGCAGTGATCTACAGCAGTGGTTTTCAACCAGTGGTGCGGGGACAAACTGTCTCGCTCTCGTAATGTCTGTCTGTCTTGCTCTCGTTCTGTCTCTCGTACCACTCTCGGTTCCACTTTTACTTTTGCGCGCTACCTGTCTCACTCTTTTCCGGCCTCCAGCTCTTCCTGCTGGAACCCGCCGCTTAAAGGTGGGGGGCGCGGACCGGCCATAGAGCCCATAGAGTTAAAGGTGGTGGACTGTAACCTGTAAAATCCATAGATTTAGGAGGTCCCCTAGTGGCCGTTAGCTGTACAAATCCATAGATTAGCCGCAACGTTATATAAGCCGCAGGGTCGAAAAATGGGAAAAAAGGCGCAGCTTATAGTCCGAAAATTACGGTAAATGGCATCTTGAAAGTCTTAAGGAAATCCCTTTTTAGAGGTAACATTTCCTATATTAATCCATTGTTTATAAATTAGGTTATTAATTGAGTGAAAACAGCTGGTCCCAGTTTGTATACTTTTTAAATATTCAAACAGCTGTTTAAGGATACACACAAGCTGTGAGATGTATTTCATAAGAGCTTTTTATGAAGAAATGAATAATTCTTTTTTGCATATTTGTCGATTGCAAAGCCGGTGTTACCAACTAAAACAAATCTATTATAAAAAAATAACACATGATCTGAATATAATTCTTGCACATTTAAGGGAAATGTTCTGCCTCATCTACGCATTGCATGTGATGACAGTGCAGAATTAGTTGGCTCACTTTATCAAGGAAGGATAATAAATGGTGGGCGGAGTGTATTAAAGGGTGCAGCTGAGCTTGAAATGTATTTAATACAGCAGGGGAAATCATAAATACTTACTGGCTGTGAATCAGCGCTGCATCCATCGTCTGATAGTTAATCAACTAAATGTGTTCCCAGATTACACTAATTTATTATTTTTAATCACATTCAGTACATTGATTCGCAAGAAAAGCTGAGTTCACAATTTTGTTTAAAAGTCTTATTCTTATATGAACATTGTACCCCAAATAAAACATGAATAGCTTGCTACTTGGCTGAGCTACAACACGTGCTAGCTCAGTGGTGCCGTTGTAGGTTCAATAGAAAGAAAGTAGTTCCTTAATGAAAGCTCATGATTTCTGGAAAACCACATAGCTGTGTGCTTTGTGCAACACAGTCTAATGTAGGTGCATTATATTCAACATACCTACGGTTGATATCTCCAAAATTCAGCAGCTCACAACAATGCAATTCTGATACATATTAACTACAGGTAAACAACAAATATTTCTCTAACGACTGAAGCCTCTTGCACAATTTTGAATACATTGCAAATTATAAGCATTTTGAATTTGATCTCTTATATTAGCCACACTTTTAAAATGAATTTGTTATTTGCTGTAATGAAGAGGAGGAATGTTTACAGCAAACAAACAAACCCAGTTGTATTGTTCATTTGGGGGACTGAATATTGTTTAAGGGCACACTACAAAACATTTCTTTCAATCACATTAATGAATAATTGTACAATGACTGTATTTAGATTTCTTTATAGTTAAAGAAAGTGTTTAGGAATAAAGGAAAACAGGTCTTTGCAGATGTCTTCATTTCTTGACCACCTTGATGTAATTGTTCCAGCTTTAGACGTCTCATTCTTCCTCCGTGCCTTTCAGATCCCACAGGGTCAGCTGCACATTGCCCAGGTGCCACAAGGAGAGGAAGTGCAGATCACACAGGACAGTGAGGTAAGCGTGTTTTTGTGTTTGTGAGAATGAAAGAGAAAAGGAGAAACAGTCAGCCACACCTTTTCTTGAGTCATCCTTCCTGATGAATTAGGTGTCTAAGCAAACATGTTGGTCCGGAGAGTTTCTCTCCAGACGGCATTAAACTGTAGCAGTTAACTTGTGCTTGAGAAAGAAGTGGTTTCCTGGGAAGTGGTTTATTTTACTATGTTCATGTCAGTATGTTGCGTTTGAAGTTTGGTTTGTACTTTTGTTGTCTTCGGGCTATCTGATAACTCGCTTCATTTAACTGGCTATTTGAAATAATCAATTACATCTGTGTGAGCACGTAGATTCAGAAAAATGCACTCTAGATTTTTCCATGACTCTACAGACAGAAATACTTCAGTTTTGTATACATGTGAATGGTAAAATTGACGTTTTAGCATTAATGAATTAATAATTGATTAATTAAACAAGTTGCATGAATACTGTACACCTACATTTTGCAGAAATAAAAACACTTCTTAAACATTTTATTAGTCAAAACCGTAGACTGGTGTCCAGCACATTACTCTACAGAGCTATAGTTCCCTTCTGATAAAGCTCTCTTTCACATTGAAATCTCGCCAAGTGTTTCTTAAGGAAATCACTGTTGGTCCCTCATAGTTCTGTGGAAGAAGATTTTTTTTCACATGTTTTAGACTTTAGGCTATTTTCCTTTGTAATAAACAAAATGTACAGCCTTTCACCACAGCACAGTATTCTTTTCATCTGTCAAAAAGGTTTGTTAACCATTTACGATTTCCGTTTTTGAGCCCTCTATTTTTTATTTGCCCATACAAATAGCCATCCCCATGAACCTCAGTAATACCTGACAACATTTAAGTCATTAGTGAATTTAAGCAAAAGCAGATGTTGTGTAATGTTTATAACTTCCTGCATGGGGTTATGACTTTTGTTTTGTACATAATGCCCAGGTGTCTCGTGCCCCCACCAGACATGCACTCTGCATGCACACACAGCTGTGGCATGTATCTAATTCCAAACCACAGCGACTGCTAAAGAGGAAATTCCTCATCAGGATCACTGTTAGTTTTTTTTTCAGGGACGTGGTTTATGTCAGGGCGCCAATCTATGTACAGTACACCCACACGCATGTAACCACATACTGTATAAGACACGTGCCACACATAAATTACAGCTTGACATATGTGCAAAAGCGCTTGACACCTTGACGCAGTGCTTTTCTAATTTCCTGTTCAGTTGTGCTAAAGGAGAAAGAAATGCACGATTGAGTGAAGAGAGAAGGAGGCAGAAAAAGCTCTGAAGCCTTGCCTGCTCTTTGTGTCTGAGCCCAGATATTGTTCTCCTCTCTTTCCTATTCCATGACATTGTTTGTTTTTTTGAGTTCAAAGCTTAGCAACAAAATCCCACTCCTTCCAACTGCCACTCATAGAATATGTTTTCATTAGGAACGGGCCCCTTTCATCAAAGCCATTGGTTTCAGCATGCTTAAAAAGGAAATGAGCTGTTTGAAAGATTACACTGTTCTCTCACCATATGGCAGCCCCAAAATCATTCGATATATATACATGAAATCAATTAGCAAGAGAAAACAACTGAGAGTTGAGGTTGTATAAATAACGCTTAAAGGATGTTCTCTCTTATGCGGTCTTGTTAACATCACTGTGGGAGTTCAGAAATGTAACAATGGTCATTGCATCTTGATGAGATTGCGATAAGCTTGTGCCTTTTTTAAATGGGTTTTTGTTTTTGTTTACAAGAGCCTTGGTGAAGCCAGAAATGACACAAGTGTTATTTACAAGGACATGCCAACAACTCAAACTCTTATGTCATCGGGTATAAAAACTCTTCTTCTAAACCCTGGAAGCTTAAAAACCTTTAAAAGCTGTTGTGATACTGAGTCACTTACTTAACACTGTCATGCAAGATTATCTCATAATCACACTCTCACCGTAGCACCACTAAATGCCTTGGATTACCTTGTGACAATTCCTAATGAGGGAGTCCTTAAGGGCAATATGAGGGCAAAGAAATGGGCAAGATGTTTTAATTTTATGGCTCAATGATATTGTGTGTATTTTGAAATGACGTATATTCCCTTTATTTATTTTTTTACAGGGAAATCTTCAGATCCACCAAGTACATGTCGGTCAGGATGGACAGGTAAGAATATGTTCAGAGTAATCTAAATCATTTAAATTCACTTAGGAATCCATGCTCATGATAAACCACATATTTTTGCCTTACTTCTTATTTTTGTGCATAATGTACAAATCCGTCAAAAACAAAGGCTGTATATCACCAAGTGTTGGACAATCTAGAATCTTCTTTCCATTTATTTACCTCGATTTAACACAAAAACAAAATCACTGAAGAGTCCAAATAGGACCTGATTTATCTTTAACTCCCTTCATGCACTTCCACTTTAAGTTGTGGTTCTAAAAACGACATTGGTCTTAGTTGTTCAGCTTTTTTCAATTACCGTAATTTTCGGACTATAAGGCGCACCTGAATATAAGCTGCAGCAGCTAAATTGAATGATGTGTACATATATAAGCCGCACTGGACTATAAGCCGCAGGTGTTTTAATGTTTAATTACCATATGTAAGGGTTCGTGCACAGAGGGGATTGTCGGGAAAGAGATGGCTGTTTGAGGAAGCTCCCATTTATTAACATTTCAACAAACAAGTTGCATATTTGCATAACGTATTCAAGTGTTACCATTTAGTGCAATAGTAGCTACAGAAGATGTACTGTGCTGTGTAAACTGTACTGTATCACATAGCGTTTCAGACACACAAACTTTTCAACTTTCAAACTTAAACGGTGCGCTCCCAGCGCACGTACCGGCAGTGATCTACAGCAGTGGTTTTCAACCAGTGGTACGGGGACAAACTTTCTCGCTCTCGTAATGTCTGTCTGTCTTGCTCTCGTTCTGTCTCTCGTACCACTCTCGGTTCCACTTTTACTTTTGCGCGCTACCTGTCTCACTCTTTTCCGGCCTCCAGCTTTTCCTGCTGGAGCCCGCCGCTTAAAGGTGGGGGGCGCGGACCGGCCATAGAGCCCATAGAGTTAAAGGTGGTGGACTGTAACCTGTAAAATCCATAGATTTAGGAGGTCCCCTAGTGGCCGTTAGCTGTAAAAATCCATAGATTAGCCTCACCGTTATATAAGCCGCAGGGTCGAAAAAAGGCGCGGCTTATAGTCCGAAAATTACGGTACATTTAGTTTTTCTATTTCACTGCACTCGTGTTTGTCTGAATTGCAGTGAAGCACAGTGACTTCTGTGTACGAGGATGTCACATTCATACACTCTATGTTGCTGTGAGTGTGGTGGCCCTGATGCGTGTGTGTGAGGAATATTTTGCTGAAGGTTTTGCCAATGAGCATTCACGAGCGTCACATTCTAGACCTTTGTCCTGAAGGAAGAGGTAAAAACATGCTTCAACTGCCTCACTAAAAATTACAGGCCTGTTAGGCGCTCTAAGGGTAGGCTGTTATGGGTCAGGGGGGACTTCAGAGATTGTATCCAAGGTTTACATGGATGTAAAGAGAAATACTTTATTGAAAACAAATGTTCCGACTTCAAGTGCATCCAATTTCCATCTTCCATGTGTTATTTAAGGACATCTGAATAAGTGTTGAAACAAAATGCAATAGAAGCCAGAAATATTTTATACACAGAACCAATCAAACTATTCAAAAACTATTGCAATAATGAGAAAGTAATATAAGCTCACTGTTTAGTGATACCAAAAACTGACTATACTATTGGCAGAATAAGGTATTTAAAGGGGAGTTTCCTCTAAATGCATAACAATGTGTTTCTACATTTAATGTTACGCATCAAAACGCATTGTTAGTAGCATTGAGCTCTAACAAATGTGCTGAATGCAATTCCTTACTCATAAAACATTTATAGAGCAGATGTTTGTGCATGCCCGGCACCGTGGGAGGGCCAGGCCCTCCCATTTGTCATTCCTGCCCTCCCCCAATAAACATGTTTTTTATTATTTAAAAAATTACAAAATATATATATTTTATTTTTTTAATTATAAATAAAATGTGAACTTTTATGCTACGATGTATGTGATGTCAGATAATAACAAATAAAAAAAAATCGCAGGCTACGTCCAATAAATGCATGTGTCTGTTGTGATTTGTGATTCGTCCACATTTAGACCAATCACAGCGTCACACTCTGCCGCCTATTCTTTTGCTAAAGCTTTGCTGCACTTATCAGTCTGTTTCAACCGCCTATAGATCAGTGGAATAGATTGAAACAATGAGCGGGGATGTTTACAGCGCCACTCGAGTGTGTGCATGTTTGTCCTGGACACGCACACACAGGATAAAGAAAACAAGAATAGAATTTGAAAATACACAGCCGGAACAAATCTGCCACTTCCTTACAGAGCCCCTCCTCCAACACACACGAACGCGCACATGACCAATGAGGGCACGAGATAAGTTTGTGCATGAGATGGAAGGCTGACAGGCAGATAGGCCATCCAGTTACTTTAGCCGGGCCGGCTAAAATGATTGTTCGTGCTTTTTACAGTACTACGGCTTCCAAAGGTGACATTTTTTTATGGATTATTTTTGTCAAAGCACTTAAGATATTTATTGTTATCGGGATGTTAAGAGCATTCCATGGAATATAACAAAAAGTGTATCTCAAGCCGGTTTCTCAAACTTACCTACCCCACCTTTTAAGCACAATGAAAATATGATCTTTCAGCCCTTATATCAATAATTAGTAAATATATAAAATATAGTAATAGTTATTTTTAGTTGGAAGGAGGTCTGAAGTATTATTTATAGCTCAATAAATGTAGGTAAGTGCATATCATTATATTATAATTTGATTAGGGTATTTCATCCTATATATGAAGCAAATACAGTATGTGACTTTGAATATTGTAACTATTTAAAAAAATAAATAAAATGTAATTAAATGTTTCTATTAGTATTATTATACATTTTGTTTATTTATTTTTTTGCCATCCAAAAACAATTATATCTCCTAGTTGGATATAATAGAGTTTGTTATAATAATGATATACTAATTAGAAACATATACCCTCAGAGTCCTTACAACACGTGCACTGGGATTATTTTTCTGTCCTCCCAGTGTCTTTATCCACACCTCTCCCCTCGTCTTTCTCTGCCTTGGATTGTTTCTGTTCCAGTTTCTCTGTTCTTCTGCCGAAAATCAAGCAAGTCTTGATCAAAACAGAGCGGGTTTGTGTCTGACCAATGCAGGCCACATATGGATGCCCTTAACACATAATCATTTCACATTCATGATTTCATCATGTTTGTCTAGAAGCAAGACTTTAGGGAAGGAAGTTCTTTCTCACGCTGCCCATCTCGCAGTTAAACTGTTTGGTGTTATTTTTTTTAGCACATTTGCTTTTATGCAACAGCTATTATGGTTGTTTTTCCTTCTAAATTGTGAATGGAAGCTAAACATATTTACTGTTCATTACCAGCTAATTAAACTATTTTAAAGACAATTCATCCCACAGGACTCCCTAAAGAAATAGCAATATTAATTACATTACTCAGTCATTATGCCCTAGAATCATTTATCGTACTTGCATTAATTGGGTCAACACAGCCTTATGTTTTCTGATTTTCAAAGACCAATACCGACTACCTCCACTAGCTGATATGGAGGCACCAATCGCACACGCTGGTTGGCTGTGATCTTTGTGGTGTTTTTCGGATGAAGGCGGCTGTGTTAATGCAGCCCCAACACAAAAAGCTTGGACAAAATAACACAGGGTCTGCAACGAAGTGTGATGTCATCCGCTGTCCATTAGCCAATCAAGTATGTGCATGTATACATTTTTGGTATAAATCTATGTTACATGAACATCCTGTTTACCCTTTCATTGTTTACAAAGAGCATAAAATGATAGTCGGTGTCAAATCTGTCCAGAGCTGTACAATTATTCCTCATAGTATTATAAACCGCTATGCTGTGTTTTGGCTTCTGATAAGCTTTCGAACTCATGGAACTATTACTCAAACCCGCCATATCTCAACGTCTCATCAGTACGTTAAACTATACGCCTCTACCAACGCAGCCTTTTGAGTTTGAGGTCCCATAATACTTCTTACTTCCAAGATTTGTCATATAAATAGACTATGCCGTCTTAAATTCAGATTAACTGAGATATATTTGACGATTTGTTGGATAAGTCATAAGCACTGTACTCATATTTCAGAAATGTTTGGCTTAAGGCTGCATACGATTTATCCATGGATTTTTTTTTTTGGCCAATGAAAAGCATTAAAAGTTCATTTTAAGTTACAACCTATTTTTATACTCTAAAGTAATTCAGACAGTGAAAACTGAGATAACCATCTGAAATATACCGTGAAATTAATTAATAAATATGTCAACATGTGGGGTATAGGAGTAACATGCCACCCACTGTCTGGAACCTTTCCAATTCTCCATTTTCTTTTTCTTTTAATAGTCTAATTATAATTTGTATCTAACAATTCACTTATTGGTTCAAAGCGCCATTGGCTTTCTGTGTGCACGCATATTTGTGATGTGTGAATGCATCTGCTTTATGAGATTTGTGGTTGTTTGTATCGTTTTATTTGCTCTTTGGGGCTCTGTTCCATTGATTGAGGCAGTCACCACACATCCCCACGCTCCGTCTGTCACACAGTCATAAACACACTCATTTGCTCGTGTCCCAGAATGACCTCCTCACCAAGTTAGACAGCAGCATCTTTCTCTGTCTTTTTCTCTATGAACTTGGAAGTTTTGCCCAGAACTTTTTTTATAGATTTCCATCAGCTTTATCACTTTCAGATGTTCTGTAGGGCATAAAATAGGCTATTTGGAACTTGGTTGGATATCCATACGCATTAGCCTACTTACAGATTGACCCTTAATGGTGCAAGAATAAAACAGAAGAGCCTCTACAAAGGCCTGTATTCCTTTGGCAGGTCTGGGAGCCCAGTCCAATAAAAATCTCCTTTATTTTCTCTTTCTTTTTGCTCATATTTAGATTGGGTCTGTAAATTGATATGAGTGCCGTGCCAAAACAAACACACAGGAACTTATTCTTTAAACTTGATGTTGCAGGTCAAGCTTTTCACACGCATGCAGTAGTGCTAGGGTGGCAGTGACTTCTCATTTTATAGTTAAAGTTTCTTGGAGCGGATACCA